ACACTCTTTCTCGCGCTCGATATGGCCTATTCTGAACACAAATAATCGTTACTACAGCGTTGTGCTGCACAGACCGCTATGTAAAATTAGGATAAAGGTAATGGCTTGCACACATCTTACAATTGCCGATAAAAGCGAAAATAGGAGTCCAAGGAAGTACTTTCGAAGAAATGGACATGATCGCTGGGACAAGAACTTTCTTCACCTGAATTTTTGGATTCAAACACGAACCCATCACCGGAGACAGTATCGGATACGGGTAATTCGTACACAGGGAGTCGCAGTGTTTATAGGATGCAGTCGCTATGCTACTGTATACCTGTGACAATTAACGCCCCCCCCCTATCGAGGGTGGTTGCCTGCTTGTGCGCTAATTGCTTGACGGCCGACATATAGGTCGTTATCTGCTGTTCGGTTACCTGGTCCAGCAGCATTGACATAGGAAAGTGTGTTCGCCTGCGCACTTCTCTAGGTGGCTGGCAGGTTTGGTCAAACCAAGTTTCAGCACCGAATATGGGTTAGAAAGCTCACTGAACCTGTTAATAGATTGGAGACCCGTAAGTCGTGACTCAAGAAACTCGCGGCTCACGTGATTATCACCTTTAGTGAGAATTTCGGCCTCCTCGAACTTGAATGCGTGGCCGAGTCTCGTCGAACGAGCCAAGACTTGAGAATTGTTGTCATTCCCCCGCGACCGTGTCCACTTTTCCTCAACACCTCACAATATCACATACTGCACTTTGCATCCTCGGAAGATTGGTGCGACGGCTCTGAAACAGAATCCCGAACATTTTGGGAAGTCAGAGACCTCGGAAAAATGGGTTCTGTTTGAGGTGCTTCGATCAGGGGCCCCTGGCTACTCGGCGTGACCTGGGCTGTCGAATAAGCTGAATGGAGCAAGAAAGGGGCTAGCTACGAAATAGGCGAAGCATTAGCTGCACTCTCAGTAGGAAAAGGAGTACGCTGTAAAATGTGGCAGTCGGGTGACAGCTACATCAAAACACGAGGATCTTGAACTCGCATTACGCAAGGTTCTTTTGCTACCGTTGTTCTGAGATCTGGACGCCTTATGGGCTTGAGAAGGCACTCATGTCAATGCCCACGACAATACAAGAAGGTGCTTCAGAGAAATCAACCCGCATCCTCCACAAACAAGACTAATAATTTGCAAAAAGTCCACTTCCTTTGTTGTTACCCTTTCTGATAAACCTTCTGTGTCTGGAGCCTAAAAGGTAGTCATGAAGTGAGTCAGCCAACGGTTGTTTTGCCACCTGAGCAGGATGGATGAGGAAGGAGAGGGCGTGGTAGATGTTGCGCAAGTCTGTCTCAATATAAACTAAGTCAGCGCCCTGCACTGACCGCGTAGGGGGTACAGTGAACGTCGTCGTTAACGACCCTCATGTGAGTGACTGAGCAGTTTTAACTAAAGCTCATTCTACAACTACTCATTAAAATAACCGGATTATCAGTTTGCACAAAATAGACGATGAGATTTATCCTGCCCGGTGGCCACCGCGAACATTTGGGGAGGCCGGAGAGAGGTAAAATTGAAGCCTAGTTAATTCCGTAAAAACGCGCAAAACGAGTTCAGCCGTCAAGCAGGGCACTTCCTACGATACTAGGTTTTGTCTTTTGAAATAGGGCAATCAGAGCAAACAGGCCTTGCGGTGTGTTTTTCGGGCTACCACGGCAAACAAGTTGAATAGAAGAGATCACGACATGGAACTACAGGGACCACGACCATGACTGTTCATTTTGATAGCACGACGCAGGTGCCCCAAGTACCATAGCTTGTAGTCAGGCATTGAGACGGCGCGGAAACGGAGACTGGGTCCTTGATGTGTTGTCAAGCCTTAAAAGCATTGACTGATTATTACAGAAAAACCAAATTAACTGCCTAGGTCACGTTCAAAGAATATGACCATTTGACTGGGATTTTTGCGGCAGTTGTCACGAGAGAAGACGTCGGTCAGCCTAAGGTAAAGAGACAACACGGATGGAGAGGGGGAGATATGATAAGAGAAGGCGTAAGAGGATAGAGGACAAACCTCCTTCAGGCGTTTTTCCACGTGCCGGGCAATAATATCAATCGCCACGTTGTTTTCACCACCTAGGAAAGGGAGAACAGAAAACAGAACGTAAGAAGGCGCATGCGAGGTGAGGCAGGGGGAATGGAAGAAAACTGTTCAAATGAAGAGACGTCTCAGGAGTCGTCCCATCCGGTACTTAGTCTTGTACTGCTGTTGAGAAACTAGCACAGGAGGATTCAATTCTGTAACAAATGTGACAGAGAAATTTATTTGAAAAAATAGCCAGACCATTTTTTCGACTGCCGACCGTGTTTGCCGTTAAGTCATACAAACTGGACGACGAAAAATTATCCTCGTCCCTATTTGTACTACTCAGATAGAAAACGAGTCATGCGTCAAATTTTTTGATTCCACTCTTTTGTTTGAGGTGAAAATCGAATAGACTTATTAACAGACGCACACCGCCAAAAATAAGACTTCTGGTCGCTTGTCATCTCAAAAAGAAGAAATGAAATGCATAACTCAGTCGTCTGCTTAGTTCAAATAGGGCAAAGATCCTCACACGACTAGGAAGGTGATTTATCGTCATCGGGTTTGGATAAAATAAAGACAAAAACTGTCGGCACATTAAGGGTCAGGCTACTTTTCAGAATAAATCACCAGTCACGTCTGTCAATGTGCCCACTACACTCAACTAGAGCAGGTGACATAACTTGTGTACTGTCACGATCGAAATATGAGTGAATAATTTAGCGTACATTTGTTCTTGTTATATTTATTTATGGATTGGAATTGGGGCTTAGAAAGCCTTTTAGAAAAAGAATACTGCATTTAAAATCTTGTTTACTGAATGAAAACACACAAGATTTGGGCGAAGTCAGAGGATACCAGATATTCAAGAAATTTCCTAGTAAGACAGCAGCAAACCTATTGTTTTTGCGCACTGTGCTATCAGAGAACATTAATATTAGCACAAAAAAACTTTCAAATAAATGCCCACGGGAACCGGAAATTCCTATCTTAAGTCAATTAAAATCCAGTAAAGGCAAATCTGAGAAATCACCGTGGTTTCCAGAAACAAGACATGAATTCAGCTTGAAAAATTATATTTTTGCAAATTTCTGACGTTTTTTGCCACAAAATGCAGTGCTGAACTTGTCTGACCGTATTACGCTTTACCGTTATTCTTAACCGTTAAATTTGTTTCTACTAATATGTAATTCAGAAACGGCACGGGAAAATTAGCCGCCGACGCAAAATCATACTATATATTCGGTCACCCTTCGACGCATTTGCAATTTTACAACGGCTACTAAAAATACAAATATAGTAAAAAGGACTGTAATATAAGCAGTAAAGCGAGATCCTTAATTCTCAGTAGAAATGTTCAAACAAACTTTCAGGAAAATCAAAATACCCAGGCAGAGTTCCCCATTTTTATCCTGACGTAACCTTACGTAGATATTCGTCAGCTAATATCCAAAGGAGAGCGGTTTTTAGATAGGAAGCGCACCATAGAAAGTCTTTTAACTGATCTTAAGTATATTAATATCCGACTTCTGTTTTGAACGCATATTTTTATCGGCAACGAGTTTTCATGTTTGGGTAAGTCTACAAATATGATCCAAAGCCTTTCTTCGTAAGAATGCATATCCCAAAACTCTTAAGGTAGGTAGATTTTACGTTCACCAGAAACGTTATAATTAGAAACATCTTGAGCACCGAAAGATACTCGTTCATTAAGTACAAAAATTTAAAAGGGCGCGATTTGCTACGAAAAGGGTACAAGAATGAATATTGTTGTGCGTGTTTTCTGTAAGATATATATTTGAATTTAAAGAGCATTGACAATTAATAAGAGAAATACATCCTACACGAGTAGCCATGTTTTACAGAGCATGCGCTTTTCACTCGTTCAGAAAGGAGTTCGTTTAAAAGACGGCATTCTGACGTAACTAAAATATCTTGGGATTATGCTACACGATAATCAATAGTAAAGTGCTACTTGAGTAATTTGTTCGAATGGAAAAGGCATTTCAGATGTTTGGTTGAAATATAATGAGATAGAGAGTCGAGTATATGTGCCAAAAACAACAAACTTATGAGGTCCCGTCTTAAAATGTAAAATGAATGCACTTCTTCATTAAATGTTAATCAACATTATAAAATGTGTTTTCGATTTGGAAACATTATTTAAATGAGAAGGTTTTAGTAATTATCTCCATGCAGCATAGCCCCAATATATTTGCGGTCGGCTACGAAAACAGTACTTTGAACAAAATGGCTACCTAATTGGTAGTAATTTATCCTATTTATTTTCGATTTCCCTATAATGATATATATACTTTATAGAAAACATACACAAAAATATACTTTATTGTACTAATTTCATAGAAAAGTACGCCTTCTTGGAAGTTATGTTGTATCAAGGGATATCCTCCGATTTTAAAACTTTTCCAATTCCTGAATAACTTTGAACGCGACCTTCGCGTGGGGTTTCTAAATTTCATGCTGTACACATTCCATCAAAGGAAAATGACACACTTTTTGACTCTACTAGGAAGAATATATTGCTATGGATGCGGAACATGTTGGTAACTGGATAATCAGACCTAATAAATTGAGACACGACAGTTTCGGAATGGACATTCATAATTATATCATAATTAGAAACTTTTCAAAACTTAAAGATAGTCTTTTTTCATTTATGAAATTTGAGGATGCACTTTCTTAACAGACGAGTACAAGAAAGAATATACTCAGGTTTGCTTTCCGGAAAATATAGTTGAATGTACAAGAGCATCGAGAATAAGTGGGAAAATCCATAATATTTAAGTACAGCTTAGCAGCCTACATACCGATTTTTTCGGGGAAAGAACATATATCCATACAAGAAACGAGCTCGAGCTGTCAGAAAAGCGAAGGTGTAAAGGAGCTCGATTGGCAAGCTGAGATGAAGGACAGTGGTCGAAGACAGGGTACAACTAAGTGAGAACGAAGACAAGCCAGTCGTATCTTCCTCATTTTGCCAAGTGACTTTTAGTGTCTTGAGACCTGTCTCGCTGGTAGAGCTTGACTGGGTAGGTACCTTTCAGACATACGCATAAACAGCCTAAAGTACAGTAAATCATGAAGTTTTTTTTATACCACGGTATTCGGTCTCAATTTTATGTAGGAGCAGCGTGAAGCAAATGACCCAGACTCATACACCTAAACGATGACCCCTGACAGTACGACTGTCTGATACACCACGATTCTGTTCAAAATCTCTTGTGCCAAACGAACTGGCAAGTTAGAATCAAAGAAGTCGGTGGCCCCTGGCGTTTTTATTCGAACATCAATGCCACTCCTTTCTTGAACTAAGGGTTCATTCACTTTTTTCTTAATGAAGTCGAGCAGTATTCCTGGGCGCGCAGCAGTGACTTGCACGGCTACTGCTTCACTCTCTCCCCGCGGCTAACATGCGCCCAAACCAGCACAACTGGAGATGAATACTAGTGCATGGAGTTAACGTGGCAATGCCCATGTCGACGCACGCCATACACGTGTTGGCTGTCACATGTGCATACGTCCGACTACAACATTTCGAACATAACATGGACGATAGGTGCCACAAGGACTGCAGTAAAAAGCGTCAGTGTGATCTATCCTTTAGGCTGGAGGAGCACCCGCTATCCCGCCAGTTGGCAGCTTGCTAAGTCACGACGCTAAGTACACTAACATTTGGCAGATTAAGTTCAGAAGAGTGGTTGACGAACATACGTATACCATACGTTCTATTGCCAGCACGAGTCGGCACCTACCCCAAAGAATAAGGGAACACCTCCTGGCATGGCCGAGAAAAGGTGAAGTCAGGAACATAAACAGTACTAGTTTGACGCACATGGTTGATTCCGGACACTGTGTTGACCCCAACGAAGCTTTCCGACTGATCTACAAGGTCCCACCAAAACTACCCCCAGTCCCTGGGTCAGCGTCCACTAGCAACAACAGAAGCAACCGGTAGCAGATTGACGAAACCGGTCTTGGGTGCACAAAAGAACGTGCTGCAAACTCTGCGTTTGGCATGGGCAACGGTCACTAAACTTCATGCACTTTTCCGCTCTCTCTCTCTCTCTCCTGCTCCCTTCCCCTGAACCCGTTTCCCCAAACTCTCAATGCCACGTAACCAGCCATCTATTATCGAAGGCCAACCCCCCTCCCATTCCCATGACTCAGTTGCATGAAATGACGAAAATAATTAATCGCATTTTAGTTGACCCAATTGTGCAAAAGCTCGCGGCATTCGGCGGGATTCGAACCTGCATAGGAGTGGCCTTTTAGCCAAGCCAACGCTCTACCCACTTGAGCTACGAATGTCGTTGGCTTGGCTAAAAAGGCCACTCTCCTACGCGGGATCGAATCCCGCCAAATGCCGCGAGTTTTTTCACAATTGGGTCAACTAAATTGATTAAATCTGCCAAACCAACTTAATAATTACGTTAGCCTAGTAGTCATTCTGGTTGATTCTAGATGATTGCTTAGG